TTTTTTTTTTTTACCCAAAATAGGGAGGGGGGATGGATCCCTCAGATCTGCCACGGAACAATGCACGTAGTATTTTTGAGTTAAAAGGTTTAAATAAACATTTACCTTGCAGATCTCTAACTAGTGCTACACTTGCTCTTCTAACCAAAGGCAAGCTGGTATGACCCTGGGTACTCACCAGTCAGACGTCATCCACTGCAACCTGTATTGCTGATCATAATGAGTCTTCACGAGAACTTTGAAGAATCTCGGCATCTTTACCGCGAGATATTCCTTCGCCAAATTGCAACCTGCTACTGTTGCACTATCTTCACTGGTGCTCTAAGTGTAGCAAAGTCTCTGGCAACTGTATCATGTGAAAGTCTGCCAATTTACACGGATATGTGTCGAGTGCCTGTGTCATATGTACAGAATTAGTGTTTATATTCGCACAGTTATTAAAGCCGTCTAGAGTGAACACGTATCTTTGTACAGATTTTGAATGAAAAACAAAACAATGAAAGTTCAAGGTAGAGCTTCAACGATATTAGCGGTTGATGAAATTTAGACATATTTTTTTGTTTCCTTTCTGGAAAAGAATTTTTGAGAAAAAAATTTAAATGAAAAAGGCTTCTTAAAAAGTCACCAAATCAAAGAAAGTCTTTTCCAACTTTTTCTGTTGTTGATGGAGAAGTTACTTATTAAATGTTCTCACCTCTCTTGCGTGTAAAAATCGCCTTACTTTCCTTTCCCCATACTAATGTGTTAACCAAAATATCGTATCGATGTAAGTCGGCGATTGGTCATTCAAACCGCATGGCATGACCTTTTTTTTTTTAATGTGTAATCATGCAACGGGAACGATTTGAACACCTACTGATGTATGATCGTGTAACCATCACTATAGAATTAAAGGATTTGAAACTGTTACTTCTATTTACAACTAAGATTAACTTTTGGGTTTTAGATCGAATTACACTCGAGAGTATTACGAAGCAATACAGACGAGTAAAAGCAAGTTCGATGAAGTTTCTCTTGGTCTGTACTCAGAGGGTCCCCAATAGGGTTCTTTGATCCCACGATCCCAACTAAAACTTTTTTCTCAGTCCCGTAATCCCGACGGTTTATACCGGCCAATCCCGATCCCGATCATACAATTTTGTCTTAGCCTATTTCCTAAACCTAGAAGAGCCTCTCCGGTGAGTGATGACTTTCTTAACCGGCATTGATTCGTTAAAGTATATAGAGACCGTAAGGCATGAGTTTATCGCTTTTCACCAAAATGATGATGATGATGTTCATTTTAGAAGTTTTCAAAGTTTTGCACGAATAACGTGGGCTAGTCACGGTAACGACTTCCTTTCATTAAACTTCGATCACGAACAAACGTATCAGTACAAGCAGGTCAGTATCAAAGAAACGAATAAATATTTCAACAAGTGTATAAAACACTAAAGGTCATGGCAATCCCATAGTTCCATAACAACGGAGATAAAGAAAAATTAACTGAACACAATTATGCTGTTGAAGCGAATACTTCTTCCGAAGCAGGAACCCCTTGCGAGGTAAAAATCAGCCTCTCGTTCCAAAGATAGAATGTCATCATCATCACTCGGGAAATCGTTCTCCAATATTCCATCTTCCTCTTCGCCTTGTTGCCCGCAGTTTTCTTGCTGCTCCTCGAAGTCAGAGCGTTCGAGGCTGATTGGTTCAACCGGCTGAATTTCTCTCTTACGGAGAGCTGATGCACTGCTGCAATAAATGTTTACGCCCAGTCCCTCATCTTCTGCATGCTCTGTGGTGCCATCGGGCCATCGGCACAGGTGGTTACGGTTGAATTGCTAGTATGGCGGACGGGATCTGGCACGTTCGGGTGCAGGATACCAAAATAATTTTGATTTGTTAAATAGTACGCCGCCCAATGGGTTGTCCTCATCAAGCCCTCTGAGGCTACATTTCCAAAGTTCCTTGTGTAGTCTAACACCATGAAAAGTTTATCTTTGTGTTGAACAACCGAGTGAATATTCTTCACATCTAGTGTCGTGTAACTCAACAGGTTAAGAGCGTCATATCAGTATAATTCTGAGACTTGCTGGAGGTTTTTCATCGCCGTTAAGCATTTCAATTGATGCAGCAGTCTTAGACCACGTTACCCTGTGGGCCGTTGAGGATTTTTGATAAATTAGCAACTTCGCTTCTCATAAAATTTTTGTTCCCGCGCAATAACTGAAGAGTGTCGCTGAGCAGCCTGACCGCCTCTCTAATGCGAGAGAGCCTGTATAAACTCTCGTTAACGGACATCCCGGTTCTCGGTTCGTTTAAGTGGTTATTTCCCGAATCACGCTCCTCAAAATCGCCGATTCCCGTGTCCCGTTCATAATAGCAATCACCACAGTGGAACGAAGATGTAAAGTCTTGGTAAAAACTTATTACCACGGTTAGTTCCCTTGTAGGGTAACAGTAAGAAACCGAAAAATGATGAACGCGGAAGGACTCGGCGTGTCAGAATGCGTAATGATAATTTACGTGTCAGTCAAACAATAACAAGTATCCCTCAAACAATAACCAGAGCTATGTAAACGACTCAGATAGTTATGCCCACATGTAATATACGTGTGGGCATCAATCGTGTTCCCTGAAGCCAGCAGAAAGAATAAAATGTATCCGTGTTGGGTGGAATATTCAATTTATTGAAAAACGTGTTCTAACACCACCCAACTTGAAGGAAGTGTATTTACATTTGGCAGAACTAAACTGTAACGTAACACTGTGACAGAGAACGTAAATATTTTCCTATCGGTACGTAAGCACGTGAGCCGCTTTGGCGTTCCATTACATCTTTTTTTGTAGGGCGTTTAGAATGATTCACATTTGTCAGCTCTCGAACTTTTCAAACTTTACGTTACAATGCCGTCCGATACAGAATTTAATCTCGCCAACACCTTATCTAAGGTAGAGGAGGAGCTTCGCGATGGCTTTGCATCCCTCAAGAGAGAAGTGTCCGAAGAGCATGAATCAACAAGAAAGACTAAGATCCACGGCTTCGTCATTACCAATAGTTAAGAAGAAAAGTAACGAGAAACAGTTTGCGCTGTACGAACAAGTCCTCGATCACCTTCAGTCGGCCTCTTCAGTCCTTTGGTCCACGCCACCGCAAGTTGAAAAAGCCGTTGAAGAACTAAAAGAAGGTAAGAAAAAGCTCGCTCATAGCAACAAGCTTATCTTAATAGCCGATTCCGCTGAAGAAGGTCGGGAAGTAGTTAACGAAAACGAGCGCAGAGACCTTGCCGACGACGGCGATGACGACAAACAGTAGATAGAAAAAGCCAGTTCTGACGCATTTTAGAAATCAGCCCTCATTTCAAAAACAAATCATGAAGTTAACCTTGATTTCAAAATTGATTGGAAATCAACCTTGATCTGAAAAAAAAACAGTTTTTGTACATTTGGAATCAACTTTGATTTTAAAGGCAACTTGAATTGTTCAGTGCTGATTAATTTCACTCCCTCTTCACAATGTCTCGCTCGTGAGTTCTGAAGAGGGTAGGGATATTATCATTTTAAATGATCCTCTTGTCGCGCCATCGACGTCGCTGAAAGGGTGTTGATTGTTTGTGTAAAGATTTCTTGCGTGTGTTCTCTTACAGCATTTTTTCCTGAGATTGTCTAAGGACAAGATCTGCATCAATGCTGTACCTTCTTATCAAGAATGCGTGGTCCATGAAAACGATCTCCAAGTTTTTCTCTTGTATTTCCCCATACAAAACCGTTAGAAGTTGAATTTCTTGCAGTTAAGTTGACAAGATTTTTTCTGTTACACCAGGAAGAAGTATTTACTGCAAAATCTCCCAATATTTCATTCCAGTGGCAGCTGACAATTTTCCACTCTTATCCTTCTGTTGGCTTTTCTTTTGTCTTGAATATTGCTGAAGGTGCTACATCAATAAATTTACTCTCTAATCCTGTTCCAACAAAGAATGGTTTTGTGTTTTCTCCAACAATAATGAATGGAATACCCCCAGTTTTTTTGGTCTTACTCTTCCAATTATTACATCTGCATCTTTTTGAAGAGAAAGAAGAAAGCTTTTGATGCTTCGATTTCCAGCCAAGCAGTTTCTTGGATATATTAATGTTCCACTCACATACTACTTTTATTTATCTTGATAACACAAAAGACGTTTAAGATATTTGAGTTTGTTCTCTTTATTGTAGTAAATTTGAAAGGAAGATTGAAGACTCTGTCTAAAGTGTCTTCTTCAAGCTCAGTGTTTGTCACCTTCAATGCAGTATCCCAAGCCAATACAGAAGCAGTGTAATACCAAACGGGATCGAGCCTACGGTGCTTGAGACAGGTGTTTCCGAACTTTTCAAACACATCTGCCAGCTGGAGAAAGTCGTTCTTGAGATAAAGGTCGTGGCAATCACCCATCGTCTTCATTTTGAACTCTTTCCAGACCCTTTTTGCATGCTTCTAGTCTTCATCAGAGGTCTTGCTGTCATTCAACTTTGAATAGAACTCTTTTTTGGAGGCAGTTTTGTTTTATCAAACTTAGTGATACTATCGATGTAGTCATATGTGTACACACCTTTTCGCGAGACGAAATGGATTTTGTCTTTGAATATCTTCTCAGTTCCCTTCGGCTTAGTCTCTTTGAGATCCAGCCTTCAGCTTTCGTGACTCACATTACTAACTAATTTATCAAGAGAACAAGCCATGAACTTGAAGCTGTGGGTAAAGCAAAGCTCGTTTTTGACTTCAACTTCTCTACCCTCTTCGTTGATGAAAGGGCCAACAACAACTTTCTCTGCTGTAGCTGATGTATTTTTCTTGGTTGTTGGGAATGCATTTGATATTTCCCTTGCTTTTACCACTATGCTTGCCCCTGTGGGCCCTGGGAAAGGGCTTTCCGGGATTCTTAGCGAATAGATGAGAGTCATTACCAGCCAAGTTGTGAATGGTGACAGGAATGATCTTGGGCCTCTTGAATTGCAGGATGCATTTGTAGTGAGCTACTCCACGATACTACACCGTGAAATGGCAATGGTCTCTAATTTTGTTGCCTTTGGCTGAGCTGCATAAGTGTCATCATTAAGTAAACACCTGCAAATCCAGCAGTGTAATGCATCGTTGAACTCACACCTATCTTCATCTGTGAAGGTCATCTTCTTGGCAATGTCAAATTTTTAACTTCCTTGATGTTTTTTTCGAGCTTTTCAACAAAGGTCTGACGAACATCTTCATCCTCACTCTTTGCTCCTTAGATGACTGGCTGTTGTCAATATAGCTTATTATCAAAGTGAATGATTTGATAACACAACCCACATGGTTTATGCTTGGCTCACAATTACTGACTGGTTGAGTAGAACAAAGATTAATCCAAAGCAGTGACACCACAGTTTTTTTGATGAAGTACTTCAATGTTTGAGTTGTAGTCTGTGTGATACCAGCACATCATTTTTTTCTCGAGGAATGTCTCAATGAAGAGACTTCTGGGGGCATATTTTGACAAAAAAAGGTTAAGTATATTGTTTCTGTTTTTTCATTAACATACTTCTTAGTCACTGCGTTTTGGTGGTCAGCTGGATTGGCAAGATTGATGATCTTTTTATTTTTCATATCTGTATCAGTTTCTTGAACTAATTCATAAGGAAGCTTGGGTCTATTGAGAAACTCATTTTTTAATTAGTTTTTTTCAAATCAACAAATTCCTTCAGGACAAAACTAAGTTCCAGTCGGAAAAAGGAAACAACGGTTTGATCCAGCCTTCAGATAGTAGAGAACAGTCTCACCATTATTCATAAGTGTTCCATCAATGTCGAAGACCTTCAGACCAGATTGGATCTGTTGCTCTTCCTTGATCACCTTCCAGCTCACCAACAGCGGCAGAGATCTCTCACATTCTTTGAAGGATCTAGTCTCTTTTCCTTCA